GCCTAGCTAATTGCTGAAAAGTAACAATATGGTTTCTACTGCTTTTCAGTATCTAATACACTTTTAGGAAGGAATGGTAATCAAGGGCTTAGGAAGCACAGTTGGGACCAGATTTGGTGTGTTTAAATGCATAATTACTGTAATGCTTCATTAAAAATGGCTTTTTAAAAATCATTGCAGACTAAGGTGATTTGCATAGTTACTTAGAAGCACCTGACTTGCTTCAACCATCCCATATTGCCGCCTGAAGCACTGTGCTGGATGCTGTTCCTCTCTCTCTCCATTGCTACAACTTTCTCTCACCTGGTCACCAGCCCCACTTTTCCTGTGCTTCCCAGAAGCCACCTTTGTGGCCTACCACAACCCTTATTCTAATCTCAGTATCTTCCTCCTGTGAAATACAAGCTCATATTCTCTCTTCATAGAAGAATCATAGAATTGTAGAGTTGGAAGGGGCCCCGAGGGTCATCTAGTCCAACCCCTGGCAATGCAGGAATGTCAACGCAAGCATCCATGACAGATGGCCATCCAACCTATGCTTTAAAACCTCCAAGGAAGGAGAGCCCACCGCCTTCAGAGGGAATCCATTCCGCTGTTAATCAGCTCTTACCATCAGAAAATTCTTCCTAATGTTTAGTCAGAATCTTCTTCCTTGTAACTTGAAGCCTTTGGTTTGGGTCCCAGACTCTGGAGTAGGAGAAAACAAGCTTGCTCCATCTTCTGTGTGACAGCTCTTTAGATATTTGATGATGGCTATCATATCTCCTCTCAATCTTCTCTTCATCATGCTAAACATATCCAACTCCCCCAACCATTCCTCATAAGGCTGGTTTCCAGACCTCTGGTTGCCTTCCTCTGCACATTCCAGCTTGTCAATATCCTTCTTAAATTGTGGCACCCAGAACGTGACACAGTTTTCTAGGTGTAGTCTGACCAAGGCAGAACAGAGCAGTACAATGACTTCCCTCCATCTCAACACTATAGTTCTGTTGATGCAGCCTAGAATAGCATTCACTTTTTTTTACTGCTGCATCACACTGTTGACTCATGTTAAGCTCCTAGATACTTTTCACATGTACTACTGGCAAGTCAGGCATGCCTCATATTTGTCCTTACTGAAATTCATTTCCTTTGTTTTGACCCTGCTCTCCAATCTGTTCAGGTCATCTTGAATCCTGATTTTGTCTTTTGTGGCATTAGCTACCCCTCCCAGTTTGGTGTCATCTGCAAATTGGATGAACATCCCCTCAGTTCCTTCATCCAAGTCATTTATGAAGATGTTGAACAACAACTGGCCCAAGACAATCCTGCAACACCCCACTTTGCCAGTTTTTTGGGGGGATGACAAGGAACAATTAGTAAGCACTCTTTGGATTCAATCAGTTAACCAGCTACAAAGCCACCTAACAGTTACCTCATCCAGGCCACATTTGACCAGCTTCTCTACAAGAATATCATGGGAGAATTTGTCAAAAGCCTTACTGAAATGAAGATATACCACATCCATAACATTCTCCCGATTCTTCCCACATTTCCCCACTCATGTGCTGTTTCTTTTGCTGTACCCAGTAAGTTTGGGGGTTTACAGAACAAAGGGGAAACAGAGTTGGCCCAAAACATTTTGCTGCTTGAGACAAAAAAGCAAATGCCGTTCTCCCTCGACCTTGAGTCACAGCACCTAACATCCAAGACCAGCCAAGCTATTTCCTCCCTGCTCCCCACTTAGTCATAGCTTTAATGATAAGATTAAAGGTCCAAGTGTTCACAGCTGAGGCTGAAAATCCCAGAACCATCTTTCCCGATCCCTGGCAAAACAAATTGTTGTTGTTGTTTAGTCATTTAGTCGTGTCCGACTCTTCATGACCCCATGGACCAGAGCACGCCAGGCACTTCTGTCTTCCACTGTCTCCCGCAGTTTGGTCAGACTCATGTTTGTAGCTTCGAGAACACTGTCCAACCATCTTGTCCTCTGTCGTCCCCTTCTCCTTGTGCCCTCAATCTTTCCCAACATCAGGGTCTTTTCCAGGGAGTCTTCTCTTCTCATGAGGTGGCCAAAGTATTGGAGCCTCAGCTTCACGATCTGTCCTTCCAGTGAGCACTCAGGGCTAATTTCCTTAAGAATGGATGCGTTTGATCTTCTTGCAGTCCATGGGACTCTCAATAGTCTCCTCCAGCACCATAATTCAAAAGCATCAATTCTTCGGCGATCAGCCTTCTTTATGGTCCAGCTCTCACTTCCATACATCACTACTGGGAAAACCATGGCTTTAACTATACGGATCTTTGTTGGCAAGGTGATGTGTCTGCTTTTTAAGATGCTGTCTAGGTTTGCCATCGCCTTTCTCCCAAGGAGCAGGTGTCTTTTAATTTCGTGACTGTTGTCACCATCTGCAGTGATCATGGAGCCCAAGAAAGTAAAATCTCTCACTGCCTCCATTTCTTCCCCTTCTATTTGCCAGGAGGTGATGGGCCCAGTGGCCATGATCTTCGTTTTTTGATGTTGAGCTTCAGACCATATTTTGCGCTCTCCTCTTTCACCCTCATTAAAAGGTTCTTTAATTCCTCCTCACTTTCTGCCATCAAGGTTGTGTCATCTGCATATCTGAGGTTGTTGATATTTCTTCCGGCAATCTTAATTCCGGCTTTGGATTCATGCAGCCCAGCCTTCCGCATGATGAATTCTGCATATAAGTTAAATAAGCAGGGAGACAATATACAGCCTTGCCGTACTCCTTTCCAAATTTTGAACCAATCAGTTGTTCCATATCCAGTTCTGTAGCTTCTTGTCCCACATAGAGATTTCTCAGGAGACAGATGAGGTGATCAGGCACTCCCATTTCTTTACGAACTTGCCATAGTTTGTTGTGGTCGACACAGTCAAACAAATTAAATAGCTATTAAAAAAAACATGGCTGCCTTTTCCTGAAACCCCAGCTGAGCTGCTTGAGGCAGCTGCCTCATTTTGCCTAATGAAAGGGCCAGCACAGAGGGAGAGCGTGATCCTCAAAAAAGAGCATTTTGTCCAAGTGTTGTGTCATTTCTGTAGGAGAAAATAAAGTGAGAGTGAAGGAAAGGAAAGGAAATTGAGTAGGGACCCCACCCCTACCCAACCTCCAAAGTCTGACTACAGAAGAAGTAAGCTTTGGCAAGATTTAGATGGGGGTGGAATATGGGAAGTTATTCTGCTCCAATGGAGTAATGGAATGAGAGGTGGATCCTGTTTCCCCCCAAATAAATTCATAAACAAGCTCTGCTTCAGCCACTGACAAGAAGCTGAAGCAAGTCAAAAATGCGTGTGGGGGTGGAGGATGAAAAGGGGGCACACCCATATCCCATTTTTACATTGTTAGAGATAAAAAATCAAATCAGCTGGGATGTGAGAGTGTAGGCAAGTCATGGTGTGAGGGTAAAAGAAAGAGAGGAAAGGAATGTGAGCCAAGCACTCAGAGCCCTGTTCCCCCCCCCCTCTACACCATCAGGGAGATAAATTGATGCCATGGTATTTATTTCAGATGTCCTTGATGTTATGAGCATGCCTATGTGGGGGTTTCCCCCCTGCTCTCGTATCTCTTTAAAAAGATCCTCAGTTACTATGTACATGATATCATCTGCCAGGGTCTTTGAAACCTCTGCTTTGCATTAAAGACAAAGAATTCCGTCTCAATTAACACTCTTCGAGAGTTTCCTGGCACAGGAACATAATTAACTCTTTGCTGGCCTGGCTAATTTCTGCGTTTTAAAAAAAGTAGTCCGATAATAACAAAATTGGAGCACTCAATCCACAGGGTAGCCATTAAGCCCACTCCCTTATTGTGCAGCCTGCATTCAGACCACAATTACCGTCAGAGAATTGCCCGGGAAGCGGCTCCTTGTACGCAAACAAGAATACCATTCATTAAAGACCTCCTCTTCAATAAAATACAATCTATACTTTTTTTAATGAATATTTGAGAAAGAGGAATATAATTTTGGCTTCAGGAACCTGCAATATGATTATTATTCTTTTAATAACATAGTCGTCGCGTGCCCCCCCCCCCATACATTTACAGACAGATGTTAGAGAAGGGAGCAGCAGAAATGAGATGGATGGTTGGAGAGCCAAGGCTTGTGGAGGGAGAGAGGGGAGAAAAGCAGAGATGATGGCAAATGAAGTCAGAGTTAAATAAGGTTTTCCCAGTTTTGCATTTTAAAAGGAAGCCCACCCCCCTTTTTTTAAATAACCCTGTGAGTTTTAAGGGTATTCCTTTTCCAATAGATTCTATTTAAGCCGTTTTGGACTAGTTAAACATTGAAACAGGGAATGCTAAAAACGCTGCCATCTCGGCCTTAAAACACACTACTTTTAAATCCATGGGTCTTTTATCCACTGCAGAGATGCATTTTGAATCAGGGTACAATGCTGCCAAGTATCTAGCAGTGTTCCAAATGGCACACTTACTTCCGTCTATTTCTATATACTGTTTTCATCTTTTTAAAAAGACAATATAGCTGGTTATTGTTTTAACCCTTTCTCAAGAAGTGGGAGGGGGGAGGGAAATTAAGTAACCCCCTAACCCACCTGGTATATCAGGCTTTTTAAAAAAATAATAATAATAGAAATCGATACTATTTTCTGTGAACTCTGAACATCGCCTCAAGGCTTGGAGGTCAAAGTTAAAAATGTGATAGTGTGTATATCTCGTTTTCAGCACATATCTGTAGCAGATATATTCGTTCAATACAACATGGGCTTATATTTATGGCCCTGTGGGTAACATTGAAAATTACAATTCTGGTAAACATGGTGCGGCTGTATCACCACCTCCATCCCAGTCCCATCTAGTCATATAGAAGTCAGCAGTTTTCTTTTGATAAATTGTGATGCGTGTATAGTACAGATGATGATACAGTCTTTGGGCTCTGCAGGCTTTCTGCTTACTTTTAAGGAATATGGTGACAGGGGCTCTGTCCCTTGCAACACACTCTGATGGCTCCAAAGCAAGACTTCTAAGATCTACCTCCTAACCTTCTTCTTGGCAGGTCACGCTGATGGTGATGGAGAGACAGATGGCTTCGTTAACACTGAAAATGAAGGTGACAAGAAGTGTGATCAGCACCAATATTTAGCTACAGATATGATACACCCCCACTCCACCCCCAACTGTCCAGTTTCTTATGCAACAGGCAGTCTATAGGTCTGATGAAGGAAGGGGAAAGAGTGGAGAGTCTAACTGTTAGATTAATACATTTCATAAATTCTCACAAAACCTGGAGCCCCATTAGGGTCAGATTGCAACTGGCAAGCCACATGTTGAATATTATTCAGTAGAGAAATGCTGTAAGTGCCACCTGTTATTTGTGCAGCCAGACGTAGTGGTTTCTGCTGCATAAAGAGCTGATGAGTTGCCCTGTACTGTTATCAGATAAGACTCTTGCTTATAAGGTGGGATTGCAAAGGAACAGAGCAGGAAATTTTTCAGTGGGAAAGAGGCACAAGAATAACTGGGCAACAGTGTTTAATTCTTAGTTTTGCATCTCAGACAAAGTTGTTTTATTTTTACTTAAAAAATAGTTCTATGCCTCCTTCTGTTTGGAGGATTTCAAGGCAGTTTACAGCAAGACTATAAAACATCCACAAAAAACAACATTAAAATATCAGAACAGTGCTTTTTTTCTTTTTTTAAAAAATGTTTAGGGGTACTTTCATTTTGACTCAAGAAAATCACCATTTTATGGTTCAAATCTGGAAAAATAAAGACAGTAAATGGACAAAAGTACAAAGAACATGCATTACTCATATTGAAATACTGCCCCTCAATGAGGCCAAACTTTCATCTGTAGAACTCCACACATTCACATTGCACACTGCTTCACACATTAAACGCTCGCTTCCGTCTGAGACTCAAGAAACACTGGGAAAGGAAAAGAAGCCGCCATCGGGGGTAGCAACAGAACTGACAATTCAGTGTTAGAGAAGAAACTAAACAATTTCAAATTTTTAGTTTCTTCTCCCATTAGATTCACAAAATGTTTAGGGGTATGCGTACCCCTGCATCCCCCCAGAAAAAAAGAACTGTATCAGTATAATAACAACCAGAGTAGTCAGTGGAAACAATCAGCATGTTGTCAATGTTGAGAAAGTGCTCGGGCAAACAAATCCTTTTAACATATTCCGGAAACCTACTATAGTTGGATCTCACCTCACCTCATTAGGGAGACTATTCCACATGGTAGGAGCCACCACAAAAAAGCCCCCGCCCCCTTCTTGGTTGCTATGAGACAGATTATTGCACTCTGTGCCACAACCAAGAGGGTCTCATCTGAATATCTTAGTGAACAGGTTGGTCTGGTTGGAAGAAGGTGTTCCCTCAAGTAGCCCGGTCCTAAGTTGTTTACAGCTTTGGAAGTCAATAATAAAAATTTCGGTCAGTAGCTAATTGCCAGCCAGTGCAGTTCCTTTAAAAAGGATGTCAGCGAGGTAAATTGCTCCAGTCAGGAACCTCATCGTGTTCTGCATCAGCTGCAGCTTCTGAACCAGCCTTAAGGGCAGCCCCACAAAGAACGCAATACAGTAATCCATGCTGAGTACAAATTATTTAGGGAAATAATAATGCTTTGTAAATTAAGTAGGGGAGGGATTATGAAATAAGAATAATAACACAATAATAATGTTATTAATTTTACTTCTGCCATTTTTCTCTTTGCACCATCTGGCTGTTATTAATATGCATCCTTCCTCCCACCCCAACATCTTTTGCCCTGCAGGCAACAGCAACAGAGAAAGGGTTCTGACACACTACCAAACCCCATCCATCCTGATGCACAGAAAACAAAACTCTGAGCTGTATAATCCAGCTGGTTTTGCAACCTGCCTTCCTTCACTGCAGACAGTGCAAATTCTCAAACCTGCATCAGGCCATGATTTGGCCAAACTTTGCAAAGACTAGCCTCCACATGCACTTCAAATTTACAAGGAACATCATAGTTTGAAAGAAAAGCGGGTGTGTTATTATTTTCTAACTGTGCCGAAATGATTTGCTAACTGAGCATTGCTGGAAGCGGATGCAGCCTGAGGTCCCTGCGACCATTTTCAACATGCAAGCCTTTCCCTCGCCTGCCTTCTGCTTTCAGGAAGAAAAATCTTCCCGAGCCAGCAATCCCTGCTTATGTGTGCCACTCATGCATGGAGTGAAATGTGTTAACCTTTAAACAATTTAGAAGTTGGTGCAGTTAATAGGCAGGACAGATAGTTACAAAGTCCTGATTAACTACAGAATACAGAGACATGTGAAAACTTGTACATAGCAAAAGAAAGAGACAGCAGCTATTACTTACCAGCCCGACACAGGTATGGCTCTGGTTGGAGTGGGATTCAGAACAGCAACATTGCCCTCTTTTGGCAAATCAGGGCACCATGTGTTTACTCCTTCCAGGAATTCAGGGGGCCTTTTCCCCTCGCAAGCAGGCTGGTGCGACAATGGGAAGCAGCTGAAAAGAATAGGTTTGCAAAGGGGATTTTTAAACATATCTATTTTTAAAGAACACCCTCCACGGAATATTCTGCTTACCAATAAGGACAGCCAGCAGAAAGTTCAGAATGCACAGAAACAGCTGAAAGACGGAGCAATGCACTGCTCTGAATCACTGCAGCCCACTCTCGCTGCCTTTGCTACAGTGAGTCACACTGAATGTCTTAGTCTGTTGCTCAGAAGTTGACTTCTTTTGCAAATCTCATACTGTACGAAGAAGAAAATTCTATGGCAGGCGTTGGCGATACCTTATTGCCCACATGCTTCCGGAGGTGGGGAACCTGTGGTCCTCCAGATGTTGCCGATCCTCAACGCCCATCGCTCCTGGATGTTTCCCATGCCAGCTGGGACTGTTTGGGGGCAGGGGCATTTGTGTAGGAATGCCACCATAGAAGCTTGAGTAGAAGCTTAGAATGGTGAAAGAGCAGCAGCAAAAAAAATATCCACATCTCACTCTGTTTCATTCATAGTACTGCAACATTAGAAACTTGTCTAATATGAGATATTTTTCAGATGCCAGCTCAGCAGGCCACTGGATCTCTTCAGTGACCTCCCACAGACCTTCCAAGTGTCCCTATTCTCCAGGGACAGTCCAGGATTTACAAAAGCCGTCCCGGTTTCTGATTTGATCCTGGTATGTCCCACTTTTCCTTACAACATCCCTAGTTTTTTCAGAGAAATTTTGGAGTGTATGGAGTTATCCGACCCACAAGCCATCTGAAGTCAGATCTGTATAGGGAAGTTTTTTTAATATTAAATGTTTTATTATGTTTTTATATATGTTGGAATCCTCCCAGAGTGGCTGGGGCAACCCAGTCAGATGGGTGGGGTATAAATAGTAAAAATATTATTGTTGTTGTTATTGTTGTGGTTTAGTTGTTTAGTCGTGTCTGACTCTTCGTGACCCCATGGACCAGAGCACACCAGGTACTCCTGTCTTCCACTGCCTCCCGCAGTTTGGTCAAGCTCATGTTCGTAGCTTTGAGAACACTGTCCAACCATCTCGTCCACTGTCGTCCCCTTCTCCTTGTGCCCTCCATCTTTCCCAACATCAGGGTCTTTTCCAGGGAGTCTTCTCTTCTCATGAGGTGGCCAAAGTATTGGAGTCTCAGCTTTAGGATCTGTCCTTCCAGTGAGCACTCAGGGCTAATTTCCTTCAGAATGGAGAGGTTTGATCTTCTTGCAGTCCATGGGACTCTCAAAAGTCTCCTCCAGCACCATAATTCAAAAGCATGGAATTCTTCAGCGATCGGCCTTCTTCTCCTTCTCCTACTCCTACTCCTTCTTCTTCTATAGGATGTCCCTATTTTCATCAGAGAAATGTTGGAGGATATGCTTCCAGGAAACTTCAGGTTAGCTTCAGCCTGCATTTTGAACAATCAGTAACAAGTGTTCAGTTCGGATTTGGGACAGTGTGGAGTAATCAGAAGACATTTTGCTCCTGGTCATCACAAACCATGTGATGTGCCCAGCAGGGCTGGGCGAGGTCAGGTTTTCAACATTGTGATATATTACCAGCCAATCACTGCGATCTGACAATACACCACAATGTTGAAACTGTAAGCTGCATTGGCCCCAGCCTGTGAGGTGCAGGATGAAACTGTCACAGCTCTCACCACGGGAGCTGAGGCACTTTCACCCCAGCACCTCAAGGGGCTGAGGACGACGCAGCTTGTTTGTCCTGCTCAGCTGGGTGGCGGGAAGGCTCCCACTCATCCCCAGCCAAGCGGGCTCTGATGTCCCTCCTGCTCCCTCTTCCCAAATGAGTGAGCCCCACGTCTCTCCAGCTCACGCATGAGGCATAGGGGCTCACTCATCTGGGGGCAGGGAGCAGTTTAAAGAAGCAGAGGGAGAAATAGATTGTATCGGCCCGTCAATACAGCTTGCTTCTCCCTCTGTGGTATGAGCATGATGGTGGCTTCACCCGGCAGTATATCACAGATGAAACCGCTGCTGCTCCTGAGTCCCTCTGCTACCAGTGGCCCAATGTTGAAAGCGGTGCTGGTAGCAGAGGGACTCAGGAGCGGTCTCGGTTTCACCCCTCATACCAGTCCTGGGCGATGTATCAATACATCGCCTAGGCCTAGTGCCCAGGCTTTATTGGGATACTGAAAATTGTAATCTGAGCTTCTTATTTGGGGCCCAGCTCTCAATTTTTCACACTATTGAGTTATATATTTTGGGGCAGTGCTTGATTTACAGGTGTGGGAAGGCAGAGGGGCCTGGCCCTCTTATCTTTTCTATTCCCCATAGCTTGGGGGCGGGGTATAATTTTGCAAAAATAGTGGAGGTCAGGGGGTAGGACTTTCAAATTTCATCCAGGGAAGCTCTCCCCCAATTTTTTTTTGAACATTTATTTTGGAAGTGTTTTCCTTACCACAGCAAACTGGGATGTTGGCTAAGGTTCAGAACATCAGACAATCCCGTTGCCACCCAGTGACTGAATTCATGCTGCTTCTGCAACTGGTTGTGTAGGTTTGGCTCTGACCTATCCCTTTCCCACCTTGTTGAAATGGTGATACGATCATCTGCCTTGAGGCAAGAGCTGTGTCTTTCAGCCATAGCCTGTTCTCCGTTTCTCCCCAAGCTGGTGAAAACAAAAGCAAGACACACTGGCTATGCAGCAGCTGCCCTGTCAATTGTAATGAAGGTACTGCACTACAGAAACCTAATAAAAGATTTCGGGTTTCATCCAGCGACATCTATTGCTACTGCCTCGGCCTGTTTTCTTTTTCTAAACTGTGGAAACAGGCTTGGAATGATGCCTCTAGCTTCTGTTTCGTAACCTCTTTTGTAAGCAACCTGGTTTTCCAGTGAAGATTTTCGTTACTGAAGCTGCTGCAAATTTTCCATCAGCTGCCACACTTCAGCTGGAATGTTACCTACAACTCCAGCCCCACCCTGCTGGCCGTTCTGAAAAGCCCCTGCCCCCAACAACAACTTGATGTTGACGTTAAGACACAGGCTGAAGATTTCCAAGTGAGTGAGAGAGGAAGAAATCTTGCATTAGTTTTCCTTTTGAATTAAAAGGTGGAAGGGAGGTGTTGTGTTTTTCAGTTCTTTTTGTGCATTTACAAATCCGCATAGTTTTATATGAAAGCAACACAAATGTATGTCAAATGCTCTGCCTGTTCCTGCGGGATAAACTGAAGCAGAATCCAACCATAGGGCTTGGCTTAGTAGAGGAAAAGGCACCATAAGTCTCATTTGGATGATGGCACAGTGAAGGAGACCTGGAATCACGCTTCCATGGCACATGCTAATCTGTCCCAGTGTAATCTTACTATCAAACGTTGATGGCACAAATTGCTTTAGAGCAATGTGTAATTTAACATCTGATTATTTTTCCCCAGTGAGTAACTCATATCGCTTTTTTTGTGTCGCATCCAGAACTACCCAGAGACTGTATCCAATGGGAGTGTACTTTGGCTCGTGTAAGGTCAGGTGCCTGATTTTTTGCTGATTCCCCCCTCCACTCCCCAGAAAAGTTGCTTCGGAGCAATAGGAGCTATTTTGTGTTTTTATACTGTGATTTTATGTTGTGAACCACCCCAAGATCTACCAGTATAGGGCGGTATACAAATTTTTATTAAAATCATAATCATAATAAATAATTGTGTGGTGGACCATGGTGGATGGGAAAGATCAGGTAAAACTGGGTGAACCACCTTACATGAACTGAAGCAATTTTGACTACCACATTAGCTACAACTTCTGGGCCTCAAGGACACCACGGTCAAGCCCCGGCGGCGCTGAACGCATGAAGGGAACTTGGTATGAGCAGGCACTCACAGATGCTCTTCCAAAAGAAAGGGAAATGTTTTGTGAGCAAAATGGAGAATACCCTGTTCAAAAAAGCTATATCCCCCTTCGCAGAAGGGAACAGAAAACCACTGTGTGTAGACAGTGCCCTGGTTTACAATCCAGGTGATCTCATAGCTGCGTTTCAGATGCTGCTGGACTACAACTCCCATCATCCTTGACTATCCCATGCTGGCTTGGGCTGATGCGTGTTGGAGTCCAGCGACATCTGGAAGCCACCACATTGGTTACCGCTGTCCTAGGTACAAGGGGGCCCTAAACACCATAGGTTTTACTTTCTGGTTTTAAGCTGCCAAGTGCCACTTTTAAAATAAGATTATCCCTGCTTTTGTATTTAAAAAATGTGACTATTTAGGGTAGAACAATTGCCCTGCATGTAGAGAGTTCTAGGTTCAATTCCTGGCATCTCCAGGGAGGGCTGGGATTGTATTTTGCCTGAAAGCCCGGAGAGCCACTGCTAGTGGACCAAAAGTCTGACTAAGTATAAGGCAGCTTCCCACATTCATGATAGCTCAGTTGGTAGAGCATGAGACTCTTAATCTCAGGGTTGTGGGTTCAAGCCCCACGTTGGGCAAAAGATTCCTGCATTGCAAGGGGGTTGGATTCGATGAACTTCGTGATCCCTTCCAACTCTACAGTTCTATGATTCCTACTCCAGTGGATCATATATCCACCAGACAGATACCAGATCTCGTCCTCACAGCTATTTCCATATTTTCAACTATTTCAGCTGTATTCTGTATTCTGAAGACTTTACAGGGCAAGTCTACATATGTCTCCTGTTAAGCAAGTCTGATAGGGCTCAATAGACTTAACTCCTAGGTAAATGAAAACAGAACTGCTGCTGCAAATACTGGGAAATTAGAAACAAAATTGAATGCTTTTGAATCATTGATATATAAGAGGAAAACATGGAAAGGTTTGTTATCTCACATTTTTCAATCATTATTGACTTCAGATAATTTAACTGGAAATAATTCAGAAACTGCTCGCCAAGGAATGTTTAACCAAAGGGTTGGCACTATCTGCACGTAAAAGAAAACAATTTTACTGTTTAGGGTTTGTAGGGTTGGTTTTAAAACACCTTTTGAGCTCAGCAGAATTAACAAGAATGGAAAAAAAACCCAGTGCATTAAAAACAGCTAGTCAGCAAGATTTTAAAATGCCTGGAATACTTTAAAAGCCTGGGAGAATAAAAAGGGGTTTCTCCTGATGCCTAAATGAAAACAGCATAGGCATCGGGCAGAGGGCTTTCCATAAATGGGCACCATGGCTAAGAGGGAACGAGAGAAACTTCTCTCTTAATTGTCACTGTCTGTCAGCTGATGAGAAGCTGCTTATTCAAACCCCTAGATCTCAAGCCCTTTAGAAATTTAAACAGAATTGACATTCGGCGAAGCTTTTTTAAACCCTGGTGTGATATTTTTGATCCAAATAGGCTGTGCCAGCCAAAATCCTGGCACTTCTGTGCCTGCTGAATTCTATGCCTACTGAAGTTTCAAAAGTATTTTCATAGGCAGCACCACATCCATTTTTCCCCTGAGCTGTTTCCTACAGTAATGATAAATGTTGACAGAGTTTCCAGACTAATGCAGATTGATTTGTTTCATCTATAATGGGATTGTCTTAAAATTAAATTATTTTGGAGGAATGTTCTGTACGGTTGGCTTGGTGATTAAACATGCTTTGCTCCTTAATCTGTTGGTCATCTTGCTTAGATATATGAAGAGTGCTAAGAATGAGCTTGGAACTCATTGACTGCAGCAAAAAAATATTCATAGCAAGTAAATGGAGTGAGCATAAACGCCCAGCCTTGAAAGACTGAATTGCTAAAACATGGAGGATTGCTAAAATGGCTAAGCTAACTGAATATGTACACTTAAAAGATGGTAAAAAAAGAGGAAAGGATCCGAGGCAATTCAGGGATACAGTTTCCATTCATTGGTATTGTAATCATAAAGTATAATGTGGATATTATTAAATGTAGGACATTTCACCTCATTTCTAATATAAAATAAAAGATAGTTTCTGCCTTTGTGTGACCAAGGAATGAAACCTGGGACAGGGTCATGAAAATGAACTGACAGAATTAGCAGCCATGCACTAGCTAAATTCTCAGTGGATTGTAACCAACTGGTATACATCCGGTGACAGAAAGCTCTTGGATTCAGTAGAACCTTCTGTCAGCAGGACAGGGTTCAGGGTGATCTTCCATGATCCCCTCTCCACCCTGCAGCCCTCCATTCCACCTCCCATGCTGTTCTGAAAGGTCACCAAACAATCTGGAGCAGGTTCGAGAGGGGTGGGCCAGGAGATCCCTTCAGCCCCTGATCTACTGACAGATGGCTCCATTGGATCAGAGAGCTTTCCATCAGCAGAGAGGTCCTGATTGGATACAACCCAGTGATCCCCATGAGTTATATTGAATTAGACAAAATAAGTGGGCTCCAGTTTGAGTCACAGCTGATGAGGGCAAAATTAGTTCCAGAAATTGGAGTTCAGCCATAACCCTCCACTCATGAGTCCACTACTTTGCTTTCTTCCATGTAAGTGAATGGCTGTCATTTTGCTACCATGGGAAAAGGTAAAAACTATATACTTGGAGAAAACCATTGCGAGAGCCTAAGCTTGCAAGATCACTGGGGCAGAATGTACAGAGGCTGTTCCCCTCAATAGTCTATTAACATATGAGCTTTCTCTGCCTACACTTGTGGGGAGGGGCATTTTGTGACTCATATAAAATAATGAAACACCCATGGTATTTCAAGGTGGGCTGGAGAAATCTCCAGTTCTTGTCGGTCCCAATTTAAGTTATTAAATTGTTTAATATCTTTTTGCTTCAACTTCTACCTCCCCTTGGTATTCCATTTCCCAGCTTCTCCCCCTGATCACTCTGCATTTCCAGTCACTATTGGGAAAAGAGAATAATATTGGAAATAGATTGCTCCCCTGGCAATTCCACTACCAAAATTGTCATAACAAAACTTCTGCCTTTTGAAACGCTCTCGAGTGTGACAAAGGAGAATGTTGGAATGGCTGTGTGGACACCATACATTTAAAGCACATGATTTACGTCAAATAATCCTGGAAATTGTCGTTTACCCCTCTCAGAGAGCTGCAATTCCTATCATCCTTAGCATATTATAGTTCCCAGGATTTTTGGGGGGGAAGCCATATGCTTTAAATGTATGGTGTGTATGCAGTCCTAGAGAAAGAGATAGGCAAATGTTTATTACTGGAAAGGCTACTTGTGTCCATGACAGACATTGGACTGTGGTCTACAGGTGAGAGAGCATTAGTATTGAATCTCTCCTCCCCACCCTCACCAGTGCCAAACACAGTGACCTCTTGCTTAGAGGCTGTGAGTTCAAGTCCCATCCAAAGGGAGCTTTCAGGAAAGGCCTTTATCTTAGTAGTAGAGTACATGCTTTACATGCAAAAAGTCCCATGTTCAATCTTTAGCATCCTTGGGAAGCATCCTTGTTTGATTTCTTGGACTGCTTCCAGCCAGCACTGAGCTCGATGGACCAATGGTCTGGTTCAATATAAGGCACCTTCCCCTGTTCCTTCCTATACCCCGCACCCATTCATCCCACCCAGGAGACCATGGAGTGGCTCCAGTTCTGAAGCTCATCTGCCCTCATCAGCAGCAACAGCAAATGACTTGGATGCTGAACTATTGGGCAGGGAAGACCTCATCACGTGCAGTTTGCTGGTTGCTCATAATGTGTGCTCTTTTGTGTCTGTATTCAGGTGTACCAGCACAGAATTTCACTGCCAACCTGACAGCACAGTGCCATGCAGCACCACTGTATAAGTTTGAATCTAATGATTCACCTAGTTCTAGGTAAAGGAATCCAATTAATCAGTGGAAATGCCCCATTTCTTTGTGGGTTTCGTACTCAATTGTGCTAAGTCTACCACTGGCACACAGCTAGCCCACTTCCCAAGCTCCTTTATTCCCTTAAACATTATTTTCATTTGATTCCCCTTTTGATCCTAAGGAATTTGCTTACTATTACCTGCCAGAGAATATGTCCTTGTGCAAATTCCTCCTGACAGCAATATGCAAACTCTTATTATGCTAAAGAAGAGGTAGTTCCCTATAGCCATATATGTCTTCTGTGCAAATGTGCTTACTGACCTTCAGGATCATCCACATAATAGTGCACAAATTATTTGGGCAGTAGTTTTCTTTGGAATTGGGAGTTTTCGTTTATCTCTCCCCCCTCTCCTTAGCCATGCTGTAGGGGAGAATTTTCTCTGCAGAGATCTCACTCTCTTCTGCTCATGATTAAAGTCAGATGGAAAAAGGGACCTTGCATAACTAGTATAAACAGAATATTATTGAGAAAAATGCAGTTGGGAATGGGTTTGCAGGCAATGTAGCGACAAAAGCCACAATCCTGCAAGTACAACTCTCTTGAATCCCCCAGATGACAGATAATCCACCAAGCTATTCTTTTAGTGGGTCCTAAAATAATGTCTAAATTTGCATCTTGACATATATGTTAGCATAGGCCAATCTGTGTTTTCTTTTGGTGTTCTCAGTTTTGATTATGCATTGATTATGCATCCTACAGCACAGTGCCCCCACTGCCACTAAAGGCATGGAGTCTTTCTCCCCTCCTCACTCATTGCTCAGCAGTGATAGTCAAGCAAACCATCCCACCAGCCTTGCAATCTCAACGTGAGCTGCCCCTGGTAAGAGTGCTGTCCTTGCTTCAGCATCATTGCGTTTGCAAGGAAAAAGGCTTGTTTTTATCCATATTTGCCAATCCTAAAGAAGCGTACTCAGTACCCACTGATGAGGAGATCATGTCGCAAACTGACTAGGTTTTGGACAATATACTGCTTTGTATATTGTCACAGAATATGCTCTGAATTTTCATTTGAGAGTTCGCTATTCGGAGCCTGAAATGCAATGCTTGTTTGGTAGCCACAATTTCATACAGACAGTCCTCTCTGTAACACATCGTTGTTAGTAACTTACAATCACAGTCTTTGGACCAAACTCCTTGTTTGGGGTGAGTATGTTCATTGAAAGCAATTGCATTGACTAACTTAAGTTCATTAATTTCAATGGGTATACCCTTAGTTGGATACAACCCTGTATTTGTGTGTGTGGTGTTGTATTTTAATCACTGCCAAATTTACCATCCTGAGGCGATAGTTCAACATAATCACTTTGCTAAATCCATCTGTTATAATTCTCTGTATCAGACAAAAGTACAGCTAGCCACATCGTTTAGAAAAAGGCTAAGCTGTTTTACTTGCTAGCAAAGAACTAAAACCACAAGAACCCAGGAGTTGAAATAAGCCTTAAATCGGGCCCAGGGCTTTCCTCACATGTTTTGAAATAAGGATGACAGTATGTGGGGTGGGGTGGGGGGAGAGAGTGATTCCATGACGTGTGACAAATCTGAGCGACGACAGGAAACATGTAAATCACACGTATTATCAGGCCTCATCTGATTGTCTGTACAACATATACAAGTTGAAGGATTAAGTACTGGATGGGCTTTCAGAGCAGGGAAGGTACTGTGTGGGCCTGGTGTGACAACTCTGATTAAGACA